ATCTACAACTTCTACTAACTGGGTAACAAAGACTCAAAATGGTTCCAGTAGGAAGAAGGAAGGAAAAACACAAGGCTGAACATGACATTCCCCTTTACACACACCACTTGTGCACTTCCAAATACTTTCACATATGTTTCTTTTATTCTCTACTTTCAAGTGTAGAGGATAATTTCCCCCATAGAGTGCTAAGAGGGAACTCTGTGGCCCTGGAGACATCCACCTCTGGAAAAATTCTTTGCAGCACACATAGTTGTCATAGTTGCTGCTGGACACTGTACTGAATAAAAAAACAGAGTTGACTTCAGCTCCTTTGTGGACATAGAATGATGGTAATGAGGAAAGCTGCTGCCACAGGGGGCACTTAGAGTTTAAGTTCTTCTGGGGCTTCTCTAAAGTAGCATGTGTCTTTCTTCTTTTCTTTTTCTTTTTTAACTACTCCAAAAAGTCTGAGTAAGCTTTGCTTTGGGTACAAAAAAAAAAGTTGCTGATTGTTTTGAACTTTTTACCCCTTTCTATGTGTTTCTATCACCAAGACTCAAAGAAGCACCTATGTGCCACACAAACATAGAGAGAGACAGCCTCAGTGAGAAAGACACCCATGACAGTATTGGAAAAGTCATTCTTCCTGTGGAACACATTTGAGGCTACAGGCAAGAAGAGAGATTTGGAGAAAGGAAGTAGTCATGTGTTCTATATATTACCAGCCTGGTATGAAAAAGTTCCAAAGGATTCTTAAGTTACCACTATTAACAGCTCTACCTTCTCTCCTATAAATTGGCATTTGTTCTGTGTTGTCAGTCTTGCTATCAATCTTGCCTTTTGGGTGTTAAATATTAAAATATCCTTCTTCTCCACCCATAAACAAAAAAAAAAAATAGTTAAGTAAATTCTAAAAAAAAAAAAAAAAAAAAAAAAGGAAATGAATGTTATCCAGTAGATATACTCAAGGACTTAAAATGTTTTTAAGAGTTCCATCTGAAAAATTATGCAACAAAGTATGGAGATACCACTTTGCATTTCTGCTTTACCATTACTTTCTATTGAATGTAATTTTGAAATGTCCTCTTTTCAAGAAGATAAATGATAAGGTTTTCTAATAAAAATAAGAAGCAGCACAACAGAAATACATCAGAGCTTCATGAGCTCATGAAGAAATGCTTGCAAATAAATACAAGTATCTGATGCGAATTACAAATGGTAGTTCCAAATAGAAAAAAAATGCTGAAAGTAAAGATAGAGGAATAACTTTCTTATTGGAAAAGTTATATTAGTCACAGTTTTGCTATACATACAATGTGTAGGTAGATAGATAGATCTCCTTTTGGTTCTATTTATAGAACCAATAAACAGAATATATATATATGTGGGGAAAGAGAGAGAGAGGCTGAAAAAATTCAGATAAGAGCTGAGGCTACAGGCTTGAGTCCAAAGTCTCTAGGGCAGACTGGGCAGACTGGGCAGGCTAGAAACTCTGGCAAGGTTTCTTTTTTTTGTTTTGTTTTGTTTTTTCTTTTTGAGACAGAGTCCCATTCTGTTGCCCAGGCTGGAGTGCAGTGGCATGATCTTGGCTCATTACAACCTCCACCACCCTAATTCAAGCGATTCTCCTGCCTCAGCCTCTTCAGCAGCTGGGATTACAAGTGCCTACCACCATGCCCAGCTAATTTTTTTATTTTTTTATTTTATTTTATTTTTTTTGAGACGGAGTTTCGCTCTTGTTACCCAGGCTGGAGTGCAATGGCGCGATCTCGGCTCACCACAACCTCCGCCTCCTGGGTTCAGGCAATTCTCCTGCCTCAGCCTCCCGAGTAGCTGGGATTACAGGCACACGCCACCATGCCCAGCTGAATTTTTGTATTTTTAGTAGAGACGGGGTTTCACCGTGTTGACCAGGATGGTCTCGATCTCTTGACCTCGTGATCCACCCGCCTCGGCCTCCCAAAGTGCTGGGATTACAGGCGTGAGCCACCGCGCCCGGCTGTTGCAGTCTTGAAGGGAATTTCTTCTTCAGGAAACCTCAGTCTCTGTTCTTAAGGCCTTCAATGGATTGAATGAGATCTGCTCACATTGTGGAGGATGATCTGCTTTATTCAAAGTTTACTGATTTAAATGCTATTCGCATTTAAAAGATAGCTTCACAGCAACATCTAGACTGGTATTTGACCAAACAACAATGCACTATAGCCTAGCCAAGTTGACACATAAAATTAACCATCAAGGTAGTCAAGAAGGAGTGCTCCTCTATTTCTTCTTCAGCTCAGGAAGAAAAAACCTGAGACTGAGGGATGTAATCAGGTGCCCTGAGAAGGTTCCCTAAAGCTCACTCAAGCTTAGCAGATACCAGCCTAGCACAGTTAAAGCCTCAATGAAAGAAATGAGAGGTTCTGATACCTGACAAAGCTGCTGAAGATCCCAGAACTCTGGCTAGGGCCCTTAGAAGACCAAATTCATGAATAGTTCAGGATAAATTTGAAAATTTTGCTCTCCTTAAGATTTGGATAAAATAGGCTGGGCACAGTGGCTCACACCTGTAACCTCAGCACTTTGGGAGGCTGAGGCAGGTGGATCACCTGAGGCCAGGAGTTCAAGACCAGCCTGGCCAATATGGCAAAACTCTATCTCTACTAAAAATATAAAAATTAGCTGGGCATGGTGGCATGCACCTGTAATCCCAGCTACTCATGAGGCTGAGGCAAGAGAATCACTTGAGCCTGGGAAATGGAGGTTGCAGTGAGCTAGGATTGCACCACTGCACTCCAGCCTGGGAGACAGGGCAAGACTCCATCTAAAAAATTTCTTAGATAAAATGAAGTAACCAGGATAACACTAGAATAAGCAATGATAATAGTATTTGAGAATAAGTATAGGATACAATTAACTATAACTACATATATTTTCTTCTAATTGTGTATAATTCTTCCGATTTAGAGATAATTCTAGGAGTTAATTAATTATAGTTAGCTTCTTTAGCAGATTATTATTTGAAAAAGAAAATCAAAAGCATGCCAATCTTTGACCCAGTTAACCATTATCTGTGAGGATGGCATCTAGTGGTAGATTAATTAATATCTAGGTGGAAATGAAACAACTTTTGGAATGCTAGCTTTGCAAATCTAAGCCAAAACCTATCATGCGATAGCAAATGTCCAAGCCTGTTGTTTTAATATATGCCTTCTGAACATCTAACTACTATCTCTTCCTTACTTGTTTGTCTTCTGATTGTCAATTGGCCAGGTGCAGTGGCTCACCCCTGTAATCCCAGCATTTTGTGAGGCCGAGGCAGGTGGGTCACCTAAGGTCAGGAGTTTGAAACCAGGCTGGCCAACATGGTGAAACCCCTTCTCTACTAAAAATACAAAAATATTACCTGGGCATGGTGGTGCATGCCTGTAGTCCCAGCTGCTAGGGAGGCTGAAGTGGGAGGATTGCTTGAATCCGGGAGGTAGAGGTTGCAATGAGCTGAGATTGTGCCACTGCACTCCAGCATAGGCAACAGAATGAGACCCTATTTAAAAAAACAAACAAACAAACAAAAAGCTTTTAATGAAAAATAACATGTATTCTTAAGAAACATCCTTTTGATCCACTTTTCCATTACGAATCCTATATTCTTCTGATTAGGAAGTGTATAGGGAATTGACACCATTCCTATTTTTATTTCCCTGGTTCCTACTCATTTTTATAAATTTAGTATTCATGCTTTTCACTCTATAGAAACACACTTCCCACCAAGGTCTTCACTTTTTTCATAACTAAATACTCTTTTTTTAAATTGTACTTTAAGTTCTGGGGTACATGTGCAGAACATGCAGGTTTGTTACATAGGTATACACGTGTCATGGTGGTTTGCTGCATCCATCACCCCATCATTTACATTAGGTGTTTCTCCTAATGCTATCCCTCCCCTATCCCCTCATCCCCTGCTACTCTCCCCTAGTCCCCCACACCCCGACAGGCCCCGGTGTGTGATCGTAACTAAATAGTCTCACTTCTAAAATTGTCTGTATTCCTATAGAGGTTTAAAAGGAGGAAAGAGAAGTAGGGAGTTTGGTCATGTATTCACCTAGGTCTTCTAACATGATCCCAATGGCATGCAGATTGACAAATCTACAGAGAACCAAGGTTGTGATGATTTCTGTTCTTACCTGAAAAAAAGAAAATATAAATGAGAAGTTTTGTTCTTCTCACCAAAAGCCTCACCATCATCTTAATTGTATACAAAATACTTAAGAAAAACACAAATTAAGGGATGGGAAACGATCAGAGATAAGAATAGCAACTCTGTCCTTTATTCGCAGACTAGAAAAACTGACCTTTTTTTACACTATAAATTTGAAAATTATCATGTGATGCTTTTGGAGCCAAAAGAATCCCCAATTCTCTGGGATGGAATGGATTGACTAGGAAAGGAATGTATTACCAATTCTAAAGGGCTGGTAATCAGGGCTGTGGCAACTTCCTTTTTTCTCTCTCTTTGCCCTCTACTTGTGAAAATTTTAGCACTCATTATCACTTTCAGCAGGGCTGAAACAAGGAAAAGAATTAAAATTCAAATTAGCCTTTTTGTAGAAGCTTTGCTAAAATATGGAAGAATAAAACTACATGCTATAATTAAAATTTAACTTCCCAGTTGCCATCAATGTCGTCTGTGAAATCGAGACGAAACCAACTCAAAGTTGGTTTGGCATTTGTGAGATTCCTTCTTCTGGAATCCCATAAATTCTTTGTTACTAATAATTACTTACAGTTTAAGAGATTAGTCAGGTGCGGTGGCTCATGCCTGTAATCCCAGCACTTTGGGAGGCCAAGGCGGGCAGATCATGAGGTCAGGAGTTTGAGACCAGCCTGGCAAACATGGTGAAACTCTGTCTCTACTAAAGATACAAAAAATTAGCCGGTCTTGGTGGTGCACATCTGTAATCCCAGTTACTTTGAAGGCTAAGGCAGGAAAATCGCTTGTCCCCGGGAGGTGGAGGTTGCAGTGAGCAGAGATCGTACCATTGTACTCCAGGGTGGACAACAGGGTGAGACTCTGTCTCAAAAAAAAAAAAAAAAATTAGAACACACCAGGTAGTTTTCTAGATTTTACTATAACTTCTATATTTATTTGTGCTAAAGCCGTTTTGAGACAATAATAACAATAGTGAAAAAGAGACTAAGAAAACTAATTTTAACAACATAGGCTTCAGAAATATCAGGGCAGAAGAAAACCCTAAGATCGGTCTTCACATCTAAACAATCCTGTGTTAGTTTCTATGCCACATAGGAGGGAATTATGTAGTTCTCTTCCATACCTTACTCTTAACACAGGCTGGTGTAGATGTAAATTTGTATGCTTCTGTGGATAGACTACTTTATAGAAGAGTACTGTTATTCATTTCCTGCCCATTCTGCTATTCCTGAGAGATGTTTATTCTTATAATGAGACAGATGCTGAGGGGCGACAAGCTTATTGAGAGAAATTCAGTCCCCAGCATCTCAGCTGCTGGAGGTCAGGGTTGATGCTGCATTGGTGGCAGCTTCCAAGAGGTTCTGTGCCTTGCTGTTGTTTGTGTTAGAAATTATTTTTATTGCACATTTTCTGAAAACTGTTAAGAATCAATGAGCTTACAAACAACTCACCTAGAAAGCCCTGCAATACTCTATACAGGGAAAGTTGGGAAAAAGTAGTAGAATTCAGGACCCCTTATCTGACAAAAATGAACATTATTCTAGGAATACTAGAAAGAGAAGACTCTACCCAAAGATAAATATGGCAAAATGTCAGAGGGGCTGTGTCAAAAAAGAACGATTTTATTATAACAGATGCAAATGTGAAATGTGGAAGCTGCTATATTCCTTTACCAATGGCCAACTTTTTATCCTGAATTTGGACTCTTCCAGTTCTGGGTAGATCCCGTTTTTAATAAGGTAAGGGCTCAAAGTACAGCCAGTTTAAAGGCTGGAGTCAATCTGCAAGGACAGTGTGATAGGGATTGGTTTATTATGCTGGGTTCCAAGATACAGTGGGTTTGGGAGGTGATAAATACATCCATGTATACATAGAATTCCTGGTTGGTGGGAATGCTCTGGTACCCACTACTATGTCTGAGATGACTTCTGAAGATAAATTGGGATTGAGTTCAATAAATATTAGCACAGAAAAAAATTGACAAACTTTATTTTATATTATATAATTTAAAAGACATTATTCCAATATGTTTTCTTGAAGTATCCCCTACTACCATATCTGAGCCTTGTCATATCCCTCCTGGTGTCAGCATATCAAGCAAGAGTGAAGTTTTATTTTAGGCAATGGGAATATTGAACCCACGAATGGTGCATAGTGAGGCTTGTTTATTCTCTTCATTTGGGTAGAGTAAATTTTTTTTTTTTTCATTTCTTAGAGTTTTGCTCTTGTCACCCAGGCTGGAGTGTAATGGTGTAACCTCTGCCTCCCAGGTTCAAGCGATTCTCCTGCCTCAGCCTCCCGAGTAGCTGGGATTACAGGCACATGCCACCACGCCGGCTAAGTTTTTGTATTTTTAGTAAAGACAGGGTTTTATAATGTCGGACAAGCTGGTCTTGAACTCCTGACATCAGGTGATCTGCCCACCTTGGCCTCCCAAAGTGCTGGAATTACAGGCATGAGCCACTGTGTGAGTAAAATTTAATTAGTAGAATTAAAGATAAGCACTGCCACAGCTGGCTCTGCATCTTTCAGCATCCTTGGGAAGTACATAAGTCCTTGGGTAACCCACATTTGAACCTCAGTGAATCTTCAGGAGACTGCAGGATAACAGAGGTGGAGATGGGGTAAAACTATTCCAGCCCACAGCTACCCCAGGTATCGTCTGCTTTTGCTTCCATTAAGCTCTAAATATTCTGAGCCAAACTGAATGCTCTGGAATTCTGTAAAGAAAAAAAAATGTTCAGGTAACCTAGAGTAATACTGTCCCCCTGGAATTCTCTTTAATAGCTAACACAAGATCAAAGAGAACCTTTCAACCAAACGCCAATCCTCTGGGTCTACTGTGAATGTTTAAGAGTTCCCTGAGCTACCCTTGAGTTTACAGACAGACTAGCACTCACCAGCCTCCCCCTAAAATTAGGACTGAACGGCAGGCCAAGGATACTGAAGGGGTTCTCTAACATCCTTATGATGGTGGCTCCTGGAATACAGTGTACTATAAAGTTAGGCTTCCTTAAGAATAGCTAGTGATACTCAGGCAATGTTCCCAGGGTTAAATTAGACTAGATGAAAAGAACACCATAATTAGGGTACTTATGCTCTAGAAATTCAATAGGAAATTCTCCTGGGGTTCTCATGCTTTTACCTTGGTCTTCGCCAGAGGGTCAAAGTGCTAATTAAGGCTGGGCACAACGGCTCACACCTGTAATCCCAATATTTTGGGAAGCCAAAGCTGAAGGATTGCTTGAGGCTAGGAGTTAAGAAACCAGCCTAGGTAACATATCAAGTCTCTACAAATAAATAAATAAATAAATAAATAAATAAATAAATAAATAAAAAGCCAGGTGCAGTAACACGTGCCTGCAGTCCTGGCTACTTGGGAGGCTAAGGTGGGAGGATCGCTTAAGACTGGGAATCTAAGGCTGCAGTGAGCCACTGCTGCACTCTAGCCTGAGTGACAAAGTAAGACCCTACCTCTAAAAAAGAAAAAAAAAGTGCTTATTAAAACTAAAACTAGTAAGGAAATCCCTACATACATGTTCCAGATTCAATACTCTGGAAAAGGCAGGTAAATAACCATATTACATGCCTGATGGAAGTTTCAAGTTTTCTCAGTGGATCGGTGTCTGAGGCTCTGGCTTTCACTCAAAGCTTCACAAGTAGTTCTTATCACAAAATACACATAGCACCCATCATACTTCCTGCATTGATATCAAAATCACCAGACATCAAGAGTGGATTTCAGAGAGCATCAGTCTGCAATGTATGCACAGGTCAGTAGAGGCACCCCTGTCTGCTAACGAGAAAGATTATCAGGGTCAGGATGTGGGCAGCCACAAATTGAAGACCACTTGCTGCTCTGCTCATCAAACAACCCCAGAGATAGAAGGAGCAAGTTATTTTAATGTGGAAACCTGAATTTGGAAAATCAGGTAGTAAACCACCAGCCTCAGGTGAACTGAACAGTAGGGATGAATTTCTGTCACTGTGGACATTTCTTACAAGAAAGTTATCAAAAAAACTTTCTATATCCATCCAGAACAGAGTCTGGGAGACTCTGAAAAGTGTTTATGAAAATATTTGAGGTTGACAATAAAAATATATATAAGCTATTTACCATATCCACAAGAAATTTTCCTGCTGTAATCAGGGTTTCTGTCGCTTCTGGGCCCAAGATAATCTACATTAACCAGGTAATCTGCAAGAAAGATAGCAAAATAAACACAATAAAATGTATTGTCTCTTCTACGTAAATGAATTCCTAGAACTATACACTGGTACGATATGGGTCAGTTTACTAGCTGGGCACTACTTTTGCTTTGGTTTCAATCAATACCATTGGAATTTACTTTATATGAGATTCTTTCCCTGGCATTTCCTAAGGTTCCCCAGTGGGGAGATGGCTCCTTGAGCTGTCTTAAACTGCTTCATTGCTATTAACATAAAGAGTTAACTCAGTTTTCACTTGCAGACTATCACTCTGAGGTCATTTTCGGACTCACTAGCTATCTCAACATGTAGACTTTTTATCCAACCACAGAAGCAAAATCAGTTTTTTTCTTTCCTTTTGTTTTTTTTGAGACAGCGTCTCACTCTGTCACTCAGGCTGGAGTACAGTGGTACAATCACAGCTCACTGCAGCCTCAACCTCCAGGGCTCAAGCAATCCTCCCACGTTAGCCTCCCAAGTAGCTGGAACTACAGGCGTTCACCACCATGCCCAGCTAATTTTTTGTATATTTTGTAAAGACGGCTTCACCATGTTGCCCAGGCTGATTGCCAACTCCTGGGTTTAAGTGATCCTTCCACTTCAGACTCCCAAAGTACTAGAATTACAGGCATGAGTCACCACGCCTGGCCAAACATGTTTCTTTCTAAACTAATATTTTTCTTCCTTTATTGTAATGAAAGCCAAGACTCTTTGCTCAATAACCATGGCAGTAAATTACCAGACTACAGCAAGCATTCTAGAGAGTGAAGGAAAGACATGGTATTAACTACTCCTCTACACTGAATTATATGAAAGGATCAGAGAAACCTGTTTTGTTCTTCTATTTTTTAAATTCAAAATTGGCTTTTATTCACAAGTAGTTGCATAGGCCTTCTCATCAACATCACTGATGTTTCTAATGCCAGACACAGAATTGAAAAGGAAACAATAGTCAAGTATATAATATACATGAATAAGGGAATTTGTACTGACCATTTCTACCTAGGATTCTTTTTATTTATTATTTATTTTGAGACAATCTCGCTCTGTCACCCAGGCTAGAGTACGGTGGTACAATCTCTGCTCACTGCAACCTCCAACTTCTGGGTTTAAGCGATTCTCATGCCCCAGCCTCCTGAGTAGCTGGGATTACAGGTTTGTGCCACCATGCTCAGTTCATTTTTGTGTATTTTTAGTAGAGACAGGGTTTTACCATGTTGGCCAGGCTGGTCTCAAACTCCTGACCTCAGGTGATCTGCCCGCCTCGGCCTCCCAAAGTGCGGAGATTACAGGCATGAGCCACCATGCCCAGCCTTTCTCTGACTCTTAAGACTCCATCTTTTCATTCTTTGAACCCAAACAGAGAAAGATTCTGTGTGGCTTATTCATCATCTAATTCTTAACTAATGCTCTTTCTACTGATAAAGAAAATTGAGGGTTAACAGCATCAAAAGCCAATGTGTTCTTACATGGAGGCTACAGTCAATACCATATGGTATGGACAATAATGATAATAACTTACACGTCTAAGTCACTAGTATTTTACGAAGCACTTTCACAGCTATCTTATTTGCTCTTCTTAATACCCTGTATGGTAGACTGGAATTATTAGCCTAGCTTTTAAAGACAAGATTGAGGCTCAATGAGATTAAGTGACCCATCCAAGGTCAATCAAAAAGTGATAAAGACAAGAACTCAGGTCTTCTAACATGTAGTTCAGTGCATTTTCCCACTATACGATACTAATAAAATGTGTCTCTAATGAAATGGGCTCTCAGCTGCTAAATCTACCTTTGGAATTATCCAGTGCATGAGGCCTGTACTATAGACGATATGTGTCACACAGCCAAAGACAATAATTGATGAAACCTATGGAAAGAACCAGTGACAAAGTTCTATACTTTTCTCAATGGGTTAATTCTTTTAACAAAATAAAAAAGAAGTGCCATTATGTAAAGCAAAAACATTTTTAATGACTGTAGCACCTCTTCTTTTTCCTGTGACTGTATTCTTTTCCTCAAGTAATACTGAGGCTAACTTGCAGTTCTGAGTTAAATCAGTCTGGATGGATATGCTCATGCCTTGCTACTCAAGCTGTAGTGCATGGGTGGCAGACAGATAGTATAAACATAATTTAGGAGCTTGTTAGAAATGCAGATCCTTTGTAGGTAATGATAAGGGAGAAAAAATAATGCAGATTCTTAGGCCAGATTCTCACCCTATACCTATTGAATAAGAATTTTAATTTTAACAAGATTCCCCAAGTGACCTATGGGTACACTTGTTGGAGAAACACAATGTTAATACATATTTGCAGATATCTGCCAACCTTATACTGAAGAGGATGTCATACTAGCATGCTCTTAACAAACAAACAAAATACAAGCTCTACTCCAGAGTAAATGCATAGTGTAGAATGACAGAAATAATTAGTAGGTCAAAGGGTACGTGAAAACAGAAACATTTAACTTAGCCTCTGGCTAACTCAGGTAGTTCAAAAGACCATGAGATGTTGAAGTCATGCTGGTTACCATATTAAAACATACAGTCATTCCAAATAAATTGTTATAGTAGTATAAGCAGCAAATATAGGAAAACTTCCCATTTCACATCCCCCTTACAATCACAGCATTTTACCATCTATAAAGAGCTTACAGTCACCCAGCCACATATTTCTCTGCCCTGATCCTTTGAGGAGGTTTTAAAAAATTTGGTGGCCCCATCTCCAGAGGTCCTATTTGATTATCTAGGATAAGGGTCTTGGCTCCCATGATTTAAATTTGTAGCCAGGGTTAAAAACCAGTGCCTACTCAATTTCCTTCACTGTACAGATGAAGAAATTAGGGGGTTAATTAAAATAGTACCAATGTAGCATGTTTAAATAAAAATATTCATCAATAAGGAATGATTTATATAACCTGAAACTTGTTGACCAAGTGAGAGGCTTAACTGTTTCAACAAGTGTTTATTACCATTTACCCTTTTTATTCTTTCTTTTTTTTTTTTAAAGACAGAGTCTCGCTCTGTTGCCGAGGCTGGAGTGCAGTGGCAAGATCTCAGCTCACTGCAACCTCTGCCTCCCAGGTTCAAGCGATTCTCCTGCCTCAGCCTCCTGAGTAGCTGGGGTTTCAGGTGCGCACCACTATGCCTGGCTAATTTTTGGTATTTCTAGTACAGACAGGGTTTCACCATGTTGGTCAGGCTGGTCTCAAACTCCTGACCTCGTGATCTGCCTGCCTCAGCCTCCTAAAGTGCTGAGATTACAGGTGTGAGCTACTGCTTTTTTTTTTTAAGGAACTGTTTTTTGTTTGTTTTTTAACTCTGAACACGAGTTAACCTTCCTAACCTTTCTTTGGAAGAATTATTACCCAAATATTTACCCAAAGGAGCTGACATCGGCAAGTTTCAAAAGACTATAACTTGAATTAACATCGTTGACTTCTATTTTTTAACTTTTTCTTAACAGAAATTACTTTAGGATACATTCAAATAGAAGAGCTATTTTAAGTAGCTTACAAAATTAAAAACCAAACAAGGACCAAAATCTGAGGCAAATAGGAAGTGTGGTAATTTTTTTTTAATGACTGCACTTTTTTTGACACATCTCCCACCAAGGGGGGTGGTCTATTTCTTCCCCTCGGCACTGAGCAGGCTTGAGATTGTTTTAACCAATAGAGCAGGGCTCTGCAAACTATTTCTGTAAAGAGCCAGACAGCAAACATTTTACACTGCAAACCATACAATCTCTATTGCAACTAACTCACTCTGCCATTGTAGTGTGAATTGTAGTATGACAGTACATACATGATTGGACATGACTATGTTCCCATAAAACTTTATTTTCAAAAAAGACAGAGCAGATGGATTTGGCATTGGGCCATAGTTTGCTGATCCCTGCAACAGAATGTGGAAGAAGAGATGCTTTGTGACTTCTGAGAATCAGATATAAAAGGCCATGCAGCTCTGGGAACCTTCACTCTTAGGAAGTTCCCTCTTGGAGCTTGGCCACCGTTCTGACGAAAGTTCAAACCATAGAGAGAGGCCATATGTAAGTTCTGTGGTTAACAGCCACGGCGAGCCCAGCCTTTGTGTCATCCCAGCCCAGGCACTGGATCTGTGAGTGAAGAAGCCTCCAGATGGTTCCATTTCCAGCCTTTCAAGTCACTCCTCAGCATTTGAGTCATCCCAGCTGAGGCCTGGACAAAAGATCCATAACATGGAGCAGAGACAAAACATCCATACCATGCCCTATCTGAATTCCATAAAGATAATAAAATTGTTGTTATTTTATGTTGCTAGGTATAGAGGTGTGGTTTCTTTTGTAGAAATAGATAACTAGAACAGGGACTGACTAAAAATCTAAGAGCACACATTGAAGGCTAAAAATCTCACAAAAGGAAGTTGGAGTCAAATAATTCAATTGAAAATATTTATGCCTTTTTACTGCACTCTGGCCTGGGAGATAGAGGAATAGTCCATCTCAAAAAAAAACAAAAACAATGCATGGCATGCTGTAATGCTCTTTTTGTTTTAGAATAGTAGAGGTCTAGAAAGTTGTTTGCTTTTTTTTTTTTTTTGCTGTATTATGAAGGGAATTGAGGTAGAGAGGAGAGTTAGAAGGAATTTGGCTTCTCTATTTTATATCCTCAATTTTTACAACAAATGTACTGGTGTATTTTGAAATGTTTTTAATTAAAATTTGGAATTTCAAAATAATAAAATATGAATTCAAACTGCAAAAAAAAAAAATATTTATGCCTTTTTTCAAAAACAAGTTGTGCTTTATTTTTATTTTTTGGTGGTCTTTATAAATTAATTAAATGGTTTATAGAAATCTTGTCTCTGAAAGTGAAAAACAGTAGTTTGTTCCTTTTTTTTTCTGTTTGTCTATTTTGTATTTTTTCAATCAAATCTATTAAGAATTTGTACTCAAATTTGGGCAAGAACTGCTTCAGTGATTTTTGTATTTCTGTTTGGATAAAATACAACATTGGCTAACATTTTTAAGTTAAAACTATAAGCTCTCTATCTGGGTCTTGATATACTCTATCTGTGTCTGTGAATGTGTAATATTTTCTTACCTCTACATGATATTGACACAATATTTTTTTCTTAGTCACTTTGCCAGCCTGTACCTTCAGCCAGCAACGCACCGCTCCCCAGGCTGGACCTCGCTTGGCCATGCTACCTGCCGCTGGAGGCGCCCCACTCACTTGGCCCACCCCAGCTGAGTCTGGTTTGCATACCAGCTCAGCCCAAGGCTGTGCCAAGCACACCCCAGCAGACAGCCCCCTGTACTATACTCATCCCAGTGTTCGGTGGTTCCTTAGCTCTTGTCCTGCATCCAAGAAGAATGAGGATATGCTGACA